GCCTCGGTTGGCAGAGTGAGCGTAGCTTGCACCAGGAGAGGCGTGCTGAACTCTGGTTGTAGTGACAATTCCCACTGATTTTCCTAAAACACACAGAGCAGCTGGTCATAATGTGGACATATTTTTTTATACTCCATCAACTAATATAAGCCCAAATTTAGTAAAGCTGTGTGAACCTGAACCTACCTGCTTTCTTGGCACGGTGCAGAACTGATGTGACCTCATTCCCATAGGAAGCGCCACAGTTGTACCTTGGGGTGGCGGCTGTGACACCCAGAGTGCCATAGTTGGCTTTGACACCACATAAGTAAGCTGTGGCTGTGCCAGCACTATCTGGCATCTGCTGGTCCACATTGTACGTCTGCGGGGGGCAAATATAATCACACACATTAACATGAACATTTATCATCTCAGGCAGGTGTTCTTATGCACAGGGACTTACACTGAGAGTTATAGAAGAATGAGATTGTATCCTTGGTGGGTATGTTAGTCCCCTCAACTCATACGAGAAATACACTCTTTAATTTATGAACATGAAGATCAATTTAGTGGTTGGCTATGTTTGTCTGTGTAATAAAAGTAATTTTAATGGAATGGGATAGCAAGTTACAATACTTTGTCTGAATTTTTGCAGCAGGGTAAACTTATTCACTTACTCTAACCTGAATTTAAAAAATGAGTCTGACCCAAGATAAGTTGATAAAAGGTTTCTTGTGTCACCATGGGATGATTATAATGACAGCTGATCAAACATCAAGTATATTGTCAGCTTGTCAGTGTGTTATGAAAGTACAAGCAGCTCAATCATTTATCAGTTGGAAAATGAATTACATTTATTACATATATATATTTTTTAACAACATGAGCAATTCATGTCTATGACACTGTCCTCACCATAAAATAATAATTGGTAAGGGTACTTACATAACAGATAACATGAGAGTTAATTAAAAAATTTAAAGTACTACAAATACTATAAGATATGATAACATATGCTTTATTGTCCTATTAGGGATTGTTTTTGTAGACATGACACAGTCAGCCACATCCTGGTATTACATAAATGTAAGTGATGAATTTAATATAATCCCTTTGGGTACTATGGTCTCCATTACTCATACTATGTCCTTACTGTTTTAGATGTTAATAAAAGAAAGCACAAACAAGTTTTTAAATTGACTGAGTTACCACTTGGGTAATCTATATTGTCTGCCTGAGGGTAAAAGCTCGTACTCAGAGTGGAGGACATTGGATGGATCATTCTGAATTCAGTATTTCCCAAATGTCTGGTGTTTTCATTCCAAAATTTTAAATCATATTTCTATGTAGCAGCCTGAATGTTTTGGTCAGAGTGGGCTGACCTTAGACAGGGCCAGGTGTGGGAAGGTATCCATAACCAGACTGGTTTCCTCCCCAGATTTTCCTGCCAACTGGCCTTTGAGGATCCGCGCAGCAGTCACTGTTGGTACCCCCATACCTGCAAACAGGTGGAAACACACCTGAGTGTTAGATAACATTGTCCAGGCAGGCACAGGGCTGCCATTGTGCGCTGTGAACCTCATAAGGCTCAGCTGATGTGATAGTTTAAAGAGCGGTGAAAGACATGAAGTTATTTACAATCACAAATGGTGGAAAAGTCATCTTACTGACCATCAGATTAAATATGTCTTCTCATCAAATATACTGTATTTTAACATAAATCTAACAAAGACTTGGTCATTAAATTAGTCAGTTGCTAAAGTGTTAGGCTAAGCATGTTATTCCTCCTCAGGAAGGTATTGCAACTGTGTAATTAACAATGAAAACTATTTTGCAACGTAACTTATGAAGTGATTAAATGTTACTGATCAATCCCAGACGCTGATAAAATCTTAAATGTGCTGCCATCAGCATGTGTGTGGGTTGGGGTGGAGGCAACGGCAGCCATAAATCCACGATTCATCTATACATTCAGAAATATTCAACTGGAGTTGCCAAATACTGATCTTGGCTCATGGAGAAAACAGAAGGAAGTGAACAGCAGTGATTACTCTATCTGCATTAAATATAGTGAAACATGTTGCTCAATTGTGTTTGTAATTTAGTTTACATTCACATGCAGCTTTTTTTAAAGGAACAAACTTGTTTATTTGAGATCTGGTGATCAGTCATCCTACCATTTTAGATATATTAGAATTAAGGGGTGTTCAATAAGAGACCCGTTTCTAAACCTTCAGCTATGCACCATTGCCTTATTTGAACTCTTTGCAGTAGTTTACCTTTTTTGGTGTTCAGATCAGATCAGGACACACAAGGAAAAAGCTACACATGCAATGTAGAATGTGGTTTAACCTCAGTTCACTTTGTTACACTTGGCTTATCGAGCTGTAGTAACTGCTGGTGATCAGATGTCAGCATTCATTTCATTCTACCCATAAACCGACACGTTTTGGGGTCACTTAGTACACTGGGTTTGCTTTGCATTCTCCCTCTTGGTGAAGTAACACCACAATGATGATGAGACTCACACTCAACTCCTTTTCACCTGAACAAACCAACTGAACTAAAAGGGGAAAATGCGCCACAAATCAAAGAAACTGAACTGAACTGTGGGAAAGCTCCTTTTTCAGACTCACCATCCCCCAGGAAGAGGATGATGTTCTTGGCTTGGTGAAGATTAGGCTGAACATTCAGGGCAGTGTGAAGAGCCTGTCTCCCTTTGTTGTTCCAGTAGCTGGCATGGAGCTCTTCCTCTATAGGCAGAAAAACAATATGATAGTGTCATCCACAACTAGAAATAGCTTATTAAATGTGTTTTAACATGGTAAATATTTTGTACGGCTTGCAATCACAGGTATATAAACACAATGTCTTATATTGCTAATAAGAAATAAAATTAGCAAAGTCATAAAGGCCAAGCAATTTTAAAACATTGATGTGCTCATACAAGTGAATATTGATCAAGTATTTTTTTTTGCAGCATCAGTACATCAATAAAAAAAGAGCAAATTAACTAAGCAAATCAATCGAATTGAAAGTTAACATGTTTGTGTAATGTAAGTATGGCAGGAATTTTGAAATCCAGTTGTATAAGTCCAATATGAGGTCTGAAAGTATAAGTATTCTTAGTTTCTGCAGCAATGTGTTAACAGATCCTTACCTGGAACAGACAAAGTCCACTTCACTGAAATCAAAATTAATAATCCAATAAAAATGTGTTGATGTTTGTTGGCCATGGCGTTGACTATATGTGAATTAAAAAATAAAAAACTGAGTAACTGAGTGCTAGTCCACACACTAAGGTCCCTTTATAGCTGCAGGTAAGGAGCAAAGTGCACATGGAGGAGCCTTTCAACGTGAGTCAGGAGTTATATACAACGCGCGTGCACACACACACACACACACACACACACACACACACACACACACACACACACACACATACAAGAACAAAGTCAATAAATTGCAAATTGCCATCTGAAACAATTTCTCCATATTCCTTTGTAGGTATCCAAAATTTGTGGCTGATATGGCAGGTGACAGGTGTTTAGGCATGTGTTGCTTCTCATGGAAGTATAGTATATATAGTACAGTATGGACAGCAAATTACACAGGAAGAATGTCACTTCTGATCTAGACAGATACTGTGGAAGACGTGGCAAATATGGACTCCCAATTTAAATGGAGGAACATTTTGAAAGGATTTCTCAAAAGAGCTGCTGTTAGCTAAACATCTGGCCAAATAGTTCATCCCAACTCATGTTTCATCACACAGATGAAGTCCCTTTGTGCATTATAGCCACAAAAGCCTTTTGTGCATTACAGCCACAAAATTCTCGACCAATATTATCTTAAATTGCTTTGCTCAAAAAAATCTCAACCATGTTTGTTTTGTTTCCAGTACACTTGGCTGGAAATTATACATTCTTTATTTTGAAGTGTATTTGTTTGACAGTGCCAATACATCTAAAAGGATGCCGAATAATGTGCAAGAGGGTTATTAATCATTAATCTTAACTGTGATCTAATCAATCCATTATCTGTTTTTATTTTTGGGTTTATTAGCTCCAGATCTGCTGAAGTGCAAACTGGGATATAGAACCCTCTCTGGTAAATGTTAACCAGGAGCAGCTTTAATTATTATTGTCCTATAGCCACCATAAATTGTCATATAATGATGATGAAGATTACAGTGTTTTACGGTGCCTTCTATGTATTATATTACTGTTTTACAAATGTCTACAGCTCATATTTAAGCAGGCCATAATTCAACCTACACTTTGTTAAAACAGTTTTCTAACAGAGCAACCATTTATTTGAATTTGTGGCAGAATTAATTGATAACATGTGAGTCTGTGTGTGGACAGGTGGGTCTGGCTGTACATCTGTGTGATGTTTTGTCAGCAGTATGGTTAAAAACCCTCAGCACTTTACACCGACTGGCCTCGTGGTTCAGACAAACCATCACAAGGTCACACAGCTTTTCTGTCAGTATCAGCATTTGGATGTCTTACAGCAGAGGATTTTCTGAAAGAAGCAAGACTTCTAAAGGACAGAACTGGCTGCCATTGGACAAATAAAAGTAAGATTACATTCAGCCACAACAACATAACTGAAGTATATGACGACCCAGCAATATAGCATTTCACAGATTCTGTTGCGAGGATACACAAAATAAATTTCACTTTATCCAAAAGGTCCATGCCATGGAATTTGCTATAAGTGGAATGGTTTTCCTAAATGTTGCTCCAGTGTGACATTGTAACGGAGAAGTCATAGGGTCAATCTTTGTATGAGCTGTGTGATTGAAGTATCACTATACAATGTTTTTTTATATTCTTTATATGTACCTACATGTGGCAATTTGTTGTATTCCCAGGGTTTCCAAAGTATTTGGATTTTAAAATGGGACAATTCTTGTGTGTCAAATGTTTGCACTGATTATGTTTGCATTGATTACGGTCTAGCCTTTTTCTTTTCTTTTAATGCTTTCATTAGACCAAACAAACCCAATCCCTCTGTTTTCTCTTAAATATTTATTTCTGTAAAAATCTGCAAACCCTTTCTAGAAAATGTCCCAGTTGCCTTTTAGGAAATATTTATGAAACTGAAGGGCCTTTAAAATAAGGGAAGTGTTATCAAATTAACTGGAGAATAGAATCATTGTCACTTTTTCATCCTTATTTAAGTAACATTTGCAAAAACAAAGTATAAAAATACATTGACAATATTTGCTTAAAAAATACATTCATGTACAATCCAAATTGATTACATTTCAAATGACAGACAATCTGACAGAAAAACAGATGTACTATTTGGAACCAATGAGGTCAAGATACAATCTAAATAAAAAACTTAAAAGCTACATATCTTCTACTCCTGAAAGAAGTACAGCATCTTTATGATTTCTTGTAAGGTCTGTGGGTGTTGCAGCTTGGCATGGCACGATGGCTCGTAGTTTCTGTTACTGTGATATAGTCATTTATTCCATCTGGACAGTGATGATCATGTACACCAACAGCTGTGTGTCCTAGCTGAACAGTGAGCCCTCAGCCTGCATGCTTGTTTCAAGTTACTCTTGCTAAAGCCTCAGATGAATGTGTAACTAGTAAATTACTGCTCCTTGCAAATTTTTGACTCTGAGCGTGCAGAGTGCTAGCAGAGTTTGCATTTAACTTTGGAAAATAAGAAGAGGACAAAAAATGTAACTAACTAATGAAAGAACTAGTTAGTGCAAGTTAGTAGTCATGTTGCAGGTACAGATTTGAAATAGTTCTTGTGAAATAAATGCTGATGATCTTAAAATGGCAATAGCTGCATGTGTGTGTGTTTCTTAAATAAAAGCTTGTGTGTAAATGAAAGTTGATGTTTACATATGTTCTAGCCTGTAATGTCTGCCTGATTGTTAATTTGTATTTAAATAAGAGCTACTACATGCATGTTTAAGCCTGCATCTTTCATAAATTCTAGGTTACAAGCTCATGTGAATGTATACTGTGTGATCAGGATGTATGTGAGTATATTTCTGTTAAAGGTTCAGTGTGTAACATTTAGGAGGCTCTTTTGGCAGAAGTGGAATATAATATTCATAGGTATGTTCTCATTAGTGCATAATCACATGAATGTAAGAAGCGTTATGTTTTTTTTTACCTTAGAATGAGCTGTTTATATATACAGACACCATGGGTCAACCTCCATGGAGTCCTCCATGTAGAACTGCCATGTTTCTACAGTAGCCCAGAAGGAACAAACCAAATACTGGCTCTAGATAGGGGCGGTCATAATTTTCACAAGTTTCCTGGCCACCAGAGTATCTCTAACTTGCTAGATGCCACTAAATTCTACACACTAGACCTTTAATAAATACAGTACTATATATGTTTATCCCTGCATTCTCACTTGCCAGCCTGTGTGCATACAGTAAATGTGTGCGCATGTACTCTATGTGTGTTTAGTGCATTAAGTGTCTGTAATTCTGCATGCATACAATGTATTTGTGTAAGTATGTGTGTCTTGATGTGTGCATGTTTTGGGGTCATCTGAGCAAACAGAGGAGGCCAAGCAGGCATAACAGGAGGGTCGAGGGTGCGTTCACACTCCCGCTTGAGGTGTGGGTGTGGGGGTGAGGAGGGCAGTTCGTATAGGGTTCTAAGCAGGCAGCGTAGGCCATCACGTGAGCCACATAGTTCTGCTCTTTCACCCCATGGAACAGGTGAGCCATTGGGCCTTTGGCGTAGATGGCCACATCCTCCCCGCCATGCGTCTCAGCATCCAATGGGACGGCAGCTTGCTGCATGTACTCCTCATCGTCTGGATAGAAATAAGTGTAACAAAACATACAGTAAACATAAGTTAACCATAATGTCAATTCAGATTCATTTTATTCTTCACTGTGACTGTGACACATGCAAATAGGCTATTTACTGAAACATTATTAATATCACTGTATACCCTGCATTTACCACCTTAACAATAAGTGCCTTTATTGCACTGGAACCCCTTTGTTTGTCAGTTCAAATACCACCCACACCAGAGAGAATTTTATTTTTCTTTGGATAGCTTTAAGATTACATGTGCCTCATAGATGTTTGTATGGCTGTTTGCCCATCAGATGGTGTGTTGTAAATCTTCTGTATTTTACCTAATTAAACATAATTACAACATTTTCAAAACCGAGAAGGTAATTTAAATCCTTTTGATAAAATTACAGCATTTACTGCCTGACTTTTCTAAAGTGAAGTGTGCTGACATATTACAGATTTTTTTTCTCCCCAAAAGCAAACATACAATGCTGGAAAACAAGTATTCTTGAGGTTACTGCTGTAAAACAACTTCAGTCTTAAAAAGGGTCCACTTGCAGTATTGTGGATTGATTGTTACAAAAATCTGTTGATAAGCCTTATTCTATTTGGCTACTCATACCTCCTTCTTTAAAAAATAGTGTTTTGGCTTCATGGTCTTCATCGGAATATAGACGCTGACTTCTGCGGTGTATCACATTTCTCCAGAAGTTTTAGAAATGAATCCCTACACTTGTAATTGCATGCTTACTTAAGGTACCAGATGAGTGTGCACTTTTGAGACACAACTACAGGTTCCAAAAACTTTAGGTGACGTCAGGCCATTCAAAAAGACAAAATTGGGGGTTTTTAAGGCAATTCATCCCTGGATAGAAGTATTTCCACCTTCAAGTATACACAATCATGTAATGACTAAAGTGAATGGTGCAAAACCAGAGGAGGAAGAACTGGATCATTGCTGTCCAGTGTTCCACAAAGAAATACAAATAGCTTTTTTTAAAGTGCTGTTACATGTACACAGTGAGGCCTACAGAGACCAGAACATAAGACAGCAGTGAATGCCATAAACACCATATTTCATCTTTGCTTTCCAGAGAAAAACACAGGCATGAGTCAGCCGTAACCACATCAGTTCACGCTGTCTGTACACACATCAGTACAGACGAGTGCAGCATCTGAAAGACATTAGTTTGTGCTTACAGTAATCCACCATTGTGATGTTCCCTCTGGTTCCATTTATGTGGACATAGCCGGGACCATTGGCGTATAGGATGCTGGTGAAAGGCATTTTGTCATCAGCTTTCTTTGGTGCCAGACCTGAATGACAAATAATGGTGGAGGAGGTGAGTTATAATATGCTGGTCACAGTACCTTTTCACATAGAGGCAAAACGGATTCAGACATACTTTCATGAGACAAAGAGATGGAAGCTTTAAACATTTAAGTTACATAACCACAATCTTAAATATTATGCAATTACCTACATATATGAATATCTTAAAACCAGGCATTCTAGGCTAGTCTTATTAATTTCCATGTGTGGTCTGCATTAAGGTACAGTACATTTGGATGTTTATGCTTTGGACCGTACCAAAGATGGGATTCCCCCGGGGTGTGTTGCCACCAAAGGTGAAGACGTGGGAGTGGTCAGCAGTGACCACGGTGAGAGTATCGGATTCTCTGGTCAGCTGCGCAGCACGATGAATGGCTCGGTCGAACATCACAGCTTCGGTCAGTGCCAGTTTGGCAATGCCGTCATGGTGGCCGTGATCAATTCTTCCTCGTAACAGAACAGCACAAAAGAAACAAATCAGGCCCGGCTCAAAACTAGCAGTGGCTAAAAGGAAAATTCCTATTTGATTATGCGTTTTTCAAAAATATGTGTCAGGTGTTGTAGGATGAATCTTAAAGACAACATTTTTCAAAGATTGAGAGCACCCTGTTTTACACTGACCAGCATGACATTTTAAATGACTCAATGCTGTTCATATAGTACTCATCTTCCACAAAAAGGAAGTATCCTTTGGGATTCTTGCTGAGGATTTGTATGGCCTTCTCTGTCATTTCCACAATGGAGGGGTCACGTGTGCTGTTCCTGAAGACCTCAAATCTCATGTCCTTTGGCTCAAACAGACCTGGAACCGCCGAAAAGAAGGAAACAATATTTTGATCTAGAATAAAATAAATAATGAACTTTGGTACTGATAGGTGGTAATGATGAGTCAAAGGGTAACTTCAGTATTTTTCAACTTAGACCTCAATTTATCCTGTTTTTGTGTCAAAGTAACTAATGGGGGACAACAATTTTTGAATTTGGTCTAGTATTGGGTATTGAGCCTGCAGCCACGAAATGGGCTACAACGTAATCCCCTTACATCAGATTGTTATTATTAGTGTCTGTTAATTTCGCTTGATCCGCTGTGTCTAAGTCTCGCTCAAGGACAAATTTCATTCTGAAATCTCAGGAGAAGTGAGATGACATTATGCAGGAAGACAATAGTGGAAACGTGAGCATAATGATACTGGCTGGAAAGACTTTGTGTTGTATTGGAGTAGAGAAAGAGTAGCTTAGTATATGATGTAAAAGACTTTCAGTAGCAAAAACAAAGAGTTAAGTGGACATACTTTGCGCAGTTGCCTGCAAGGATTATGTTGTAAACTACATTGATTTACCTTGTTATCTAGTCAATAAGCCTTGCTTATGTTTCAGTTAAAATATAAACTGCTTCCAAGATCATGAATTCCCTTTTTTCCCAAATGAATTATAAATGAATGCATTTACAATTTCTGTTTACATAGCAACAAGTGTGAATTAGCAATAGCTATGACTACGTAAGTGCACGCACTCGTTCATGCATTCACACACATACACACACATACACAACCTTTTTGCGATAGGCAATTGGCACAAACTAAAACACACGTACACACTTGATCTTCAGGCCAAATTTGAGCCTCTTACGGTGAAAACTGTAACTGCAAAAGGGTAGGGAATTTTTTGTGAACCGACCAACCAACAGAGCGCGTTATAGAGCTGCTGGTCGCAGCTAAAAAGTTAATACCTCAGATGATAATGCTTAGAATAAAACCTAATTGGAGCCATTTGGAGATGTTGTGTTCTGTTTTCCTGTGACTTCTTATTTCAAACGTAAGACCACCTTTAAACGTGGCAGCCTAATTAAGGTACACATTTTATAACACACACATGAAAGATATAGATCTGTACAAGATGATAGGAGTTATATTGCATTTGTATTACTGTCATACGCATCACAGAAAAGAACACACCCTTTCATTTTTATGACCATAGTTCAGTTGATAACTGCAGCTAACTAAATTTACAGTGTACTGTTATGACTGCTTTGATGGCTGTAAAAGATCCAAACTGACCTTAATGGAATCCTCTTGTTTGCACTGAGAATATTTCATAAGTTAGATAAGAGGTGTATCTGTCAACACCTGAGTAATGTAGACACAAGGGGTTCAAAGATTGTGCACGTGTCTGAGTGAGTACGTAATGTATGTGTTATGCATGCATTATGTATTGGGTTTTTTTCTGCCTGTAAATCAGTCTTGTGTACCGTGTGTATGGTATCATTGTGTGTTTTATATACTGCAGTAAGCTCATGAGTGTCTGCTTATCTGTTCAACCTGATTATCTGTCATTGTTAACACATCTATACCTACCCATGAGCCGGTCAGTAGTTTTAACATTTATCTCATCAAACTCCTTCCTGTGCCAAATGTAGTGTGACTTCTTGTTCTGAAAAACAGACCATAGGACATTTGAAGCTGTGACTAATATATCAAAATACATGGAAATATCCAACTGTAACGTAAAATAATCCTACTGGTTTAGCCTTCAGCCACACATCGATGAGGTTCCTCTTGTCTTTTCGGTCCCCCTTGCGGGAGTTGGAGGTAGGGTACTCAGGGTCTGGGGTTCCTTTTGGTGTCATGTACATCCTCCCTCCCCCCAGAATTACCTACAAAGGACACCAGACGGAATCGTTACATTCACAGTAGTAGCCTAAGATGGTCTTCATACTGAAGAATTATACTGCCCTAACAATAGAGCTCTGTCACAAAACTGCTGTGATTTTTTCTCATCTACAAGCTACTTGACTTCATTCACCTTACATCCCATGTGTAAATAATTATTCAAATATATGGCTAGATTTAAAACCAGTAAGGCACAATGAGTCCTGAGGATCAAGATAGAAAATTAAAATGACTGGAAGAGTACGTATATGTATGTGGTGTTTTAAAGGGACATTGTGTAGTTTTTTTAAAGTATTTTATTAGCTAAAATCAATGTCTTCATTCATAAATATGTCCTTATTGGTGTAAAATTACCTCTGCCAATGATCTGACTTATCCTCATAAGCGAAGAATTTCTTATCTGTATATACATTGGACGTGCAAGTCCATGGAGGCTTCCATGTCGTTTCGCCATTTTGAAAAACTATAATCGCCGAGAGGGACATAAAGCACTAGCCTACCTGTCTAGCTAATCCACAACGCGTTTTCGTTCAGAGCCAGCATCATGTGACTGAAACCAGCTATAACAGAGAAGGAGATCAGTGAGAGGCGCTTGTCACTGCCCCGGCACATTTGAAAGTCCAAAAAGCGAAAAAGGGAATTAAAAAGGCAACGTGACCGGCGAATTAAAAAAACGAGGGTAAACATAGGAGTAGCTTTTCCCAGGTGGAAAGAGCTAATGAAGGAGAAAGACTTTCAAAGGGACGCTGAAGTTGCCTGCTTTCTCTTCGACAGGTAGGCTCCTTGGTACATAACGGCTACCGTAGTTGCAATACGCATTCGAAAACGCGAGGCACTAGAGAACACTGTTTGTTTGAATGCAAAATACAATTTCACCGCTAGATGGGAGAAATTCCTACACAATGTCCCTTTAAGATGGGTTGAGATTTTAAAGAAGAAAAATGCAAATTATGTGTGTAAATTAGATGCCTCTATGTATGTTTCTAAAGTCAATTTGGTAGCTTCTTCTGTTCGAAATGACTGTTGTTTATCACCTCATCTTTAAGTAGTGGAAGATAAAGTTTTCCACTGGACATGAATGCACCACCAGCATAACACAAAAATAGTATATATTTTCCTTTTTAAACAATGTTATATTTACATGTCTTGTCAGTGGGATGCTAAAATATCCTCTGAATGCCATAGAGTTGTATGAGGAAGATGAAAATTGATGCACTTAGAGATGGTTATAGCTTAAGATCTCCTATTATGACATATATATACATAGTCTGCTTTTGTTCTTTTTCTGAAACTTTCCAGACACAAGATGTCTTGTACTTCACTGTAAAGTCTATTCTAAGTGTATGTTTCTACATCACACTTGTATAAATTGCATACTGGACCACAAATTATGCCCGTAGACCTGCCTCTTAAACTCTGACTGTCTATGAGCACAGAGAAACTTTCCACTTTCAGCAGATGAATGTGAAAACATCCTTCTAGTGTGAAAAGTATGTATGCATATAATCCAGCACAGTGAAGCTCAAACATCCAACTGTACGAACAAGAATAAAAACACATTTTTCAGTGGAGCGGGGCTCTAAACTGGACTAAATCTGCCTTCTTTGAATATCCCTTATATGAACACTAATGTTCTGTCCTGTTGTTCTTGTTTTTCTTCTCTGCACCTTGTCTCACCTTATTCTATGGCTGTCTTGTAGCATCATATCAACCATATAGACAGATCAAAGTCATGGTGAACTCATTACACTTTGCAAATAAAATGAGTCATATTCTCATAAAACTGTTTCCAAACTGCTCCTTATCCATCTTAAAACAAAACAATCATCAAAGGACATACTACTATTGTAGATAAGCACAATACTACTACTTGTTGGAGGAGCCATATAAGAGTTGTACACTTGCAGTAGAGAGTTTAACTGAACTTGATCCAATTAATTAAAAAGAAATGTGCCAAACAGAAAAGTTCTTACATACATCAATGTCAACGTTAGTGACCAGCTGGGTTGCAATGTCGACACATCCCTGCCTGCGGGCGCTGGACGGAAGATCTGCGTCACTGTACCAACTGCGACTGACAGAGTGAGCATAAGCAGCAGCTGGGGAGGCATGCTGGACACGGGTGGTGGTCACTATGCCAACTGATTTACCTGGACAATGCAGAAGCACACCCAAATCAGAATTAAAACCGCCAATTAACTTTCGTTTGGACAACTTTGCTTTTTTGGCTCCAACTTTAACAATAAAATACTGCCTCCAGGAAACTCTGTATGATTAAATCTTTATGGCTTCATGAGAAAATGTCAACACAAACACATTCTAAACACAATGCTATAGCTATCTAGGTAAATACAACTTAATTATAGGTATAATGAACATTGAACTACAACTGGTGCCACTCAAGTAGTAGAGGACATGCTTATCAGATGATTGTTTTATTCCTCATAGCCTATTTTATTTTCACATATATGTGGTAATTGCATATCTTGAGGTAAGAATGTAATTCAAATGAGCTGACCTTTCTATTACACATCACACCCAATACTTAGCCAAGCCATTTAGTGACCTTACCTTGTGCTTTAGCACGTCGTAGTACTGAGTAGACCTCGTTGCCAAAGGTGGTGTTACACTCATAGGCCACTGCATTAGCGCTGAGCCCTACTGTCTTAGCATTGGCCTTCACCCCACAGTGGTAGGCTGTAGCTGTGCTAGCACTGTCTGCTACCTGTTTATCTACACTGTAGGTCTGTGGAGCAGAAACACAAGCACCATTAAAAACCAAACAGGGCATAAACATATATTTGTAGAAATTCTAAAACACAGAGGCACTGAACACTCACATTTGAATTACTGAAATTGAGGAATTATACTTAGTCATGAAGCTGAATCTCACTTTAAATTAAATTCCCACCATTTCTACCACAATGTCAGCATTTTTAAGTTAAATTGCTGATTTTAGCTAAATCCCTTGAAAATCTTTTCACACAGTGGTTTAAGTACTCAGAGTGGGATGGTATGAGGCAAGATACAACATGTAAAGGGAACAAAGCATGTAACACACACACACTAACCATCCTTCTATACACTTCATCTGCTGAGCATTTCTGTCTCTTTTTCTCTTACTCTTGCTGTCTTCTCTCTCTTTGTTTCTCCACACACTCATGCACACAGGTAAATGACATACCCAAGTATATTAGCATGTGGTGGCCCTCTCTCTCACACTTTCTTTCACAGAACATCTAACAACAGCGCTCATCCTTTGAGTCCATCCACTGATATCAGTGTTGATAGTGTGTGTATGTATGTGTAGAGGCAAAGCAATTCAGACGTCACAGAGTGCAGATACATAATAAAATACTTTCTATGGCCTGTTTCTTAACTCTAAATATTGAAAAATATATGTGAAAAGTGCTAAATTACTGTGTTGCCATAAAAATGGAAATAATTCATAAAGCGCAGCTATATGCTGTATATATGCTTATATGAAGGAACCCTACTGGTTCTTTCAAATTGCATTGTAGTCTACATAGGCTAATGACGATAATAATGATGAATTACAGGTCAACGGTGTTGTGTTGTCACCTTTGACAAGGCCACATATGGGAAAGTATCCATGGCCAGCATTGTCTCCTCCCCTGATCCGCCCTCCATTTGACCTCGCAGGATTCGAGCTGCTGACACTGTGGACACACCCATCCCTGGAAGACAATGATTGACAGGTGAAGGTTCACTGATAGGGTCCATCAATAATGTTTTTACTTCACTATTTCAGTCTTCTGACACATTGAATGACATATTAAGGAATCGATGATTTAGAAATCTATATTATGTATGTATTCACATTATATGAAGGTTTTGCTGTTTTGACCCCAAAAAGCCCATTATACTATTCTCTGTCCAGTTTATGCACATTTCAAAAATCCTGCCCAGAAATATTCAAATGTGTTTGTTTTTAAAGCTCAGACTATAACTGTCAGATGAGAGGGGAAAAAGAATATTCAGTAATTCTCTAAGCAAACAAAGTCAAAGGACGTCAAGGCCATTAACATCAACTAAATCCACAAATACAGGGTATTTAAGGCAGCGGTTTTCTAGGAGAACCACATTTTCAGATCATCAAATCATCGCACAGACCAATACTGACTTCTCCAGGCAAGTATTCAGACCACTATTAGTAGAGCATATAACATAGAGATATACATAAAGATACTGTGATGTCCCTATTTGGCATATATTACAAAAAGCATACAGTATATGCCTTTTGATCACTTTTTCTAAATAAATTAAGGAACCTGTTTTATTGCTTCCTGTGGTCCATTATTGGATTCAAACCCTGACTTTGAAAACCATATTTACTTACGACAAAACCCATGCCACTGTGATGCATTCAACTCTCCCTTCAACATCACAGCCATAAAACTGAGAACATGCTCTGGGCAGGGCATTACTGGAGAGATGCACAAAGAAAACTCAGCCCCGACCACCCAGAAATGTGACTCAGTAGGTCTGATTTAAAGCAGATATTCTAGTTGTTAACAGGGAAAACACTCTTAAATCTCTGCGCCTTGAAACAGCTCCCTTTACAAAAAACACTCTCATGCCTCAACAGCTGTAAATATACCACACAATGACAATTAATGTGAAAAATTTGCCGATCAAATCAAATCCAGATGGGACCTTTCCCCAACTGGAAGAGACATGTAGCATATCAGGATTAAATCTTCAAGGTGACAGCCACACCCTGCACTGATAGGGATTGCCACCTCACAGTCAAAGCCCCTGCAAAGTATTTGACCACTAGTAACATTATGGATCAATGGTTTCTCAAGTAGGTCCTCATTTTATTTGAATCATGCACACAGATGGTGCCAACAAACAAAGCAATGTGCTAATAAAGGTTGTGAAGAGAAAGACTGCTAGCAAGAAAACATGGATGCAAACAATGCACAATCAATGTTAATATGTCTTGCAAATGTTTTGTGAGGAAGAAAATGCACTCAACACATTTGTTAGATTTTAGGGATACACTTGCATGCATTGGGTAAACATGGAATAAAAACATAACTATTGTTTGCTTCCAAGAAAACTCCACGTCTTTAATGGTCATTCAACCTCCTGAGCTCCTAAAAATGCAGTTCAAAGTTCAAAGTTGGCATACAATAAAGTAGGAGCAGTTTGTGACAGAGTAAGTCAACTGATGGAAAAATCTGGCTCTTTATCTGCTAAATGTTCCACTATTTTCACAGGCTTCTTGCTGACTTTATAATGAACTGGAAGACACAAAATTGCTCTGTAGAGCCGAGCGGTACCATAAAGTAAAGGTACTCGCTCGGGCAGCTAACTCCTTTCACATTACTCTTTATCATTTGACCCATTATTAACATCAAATATTTATCAGTAAAACTAAAACTACTTAGGGGTTGGAGAAAAGTCGCCTTCATGATTAAAGGAAACCATTGTTGTCTGTTGGTAAGAGATGAGACTCCTCCTGTCTAAGCAATTAATGTCACACCACTTCTGCCTTTCTACTTTGAGTCATTACTCGCACAACTCCAAGCGTGTGCTTTTCATGCCCTTGTAATCAATTTTATGCATTTGAACAAATGACTAAAGCTGGCCAGAGCTGTATTATGACCACTGGCTCATCAGCCCCTACAAATCTAGACACGTGCCAGCACTTCCACTCACACACAGTCCGCTGCTCAAGCAACTTTCCCTCAGTCCATTCTAAACACAGCTACACACTTGAGCATTGTCTTGCATTGCACATTAGGCTGTGTTTGTCATTGAGGCTGAAAGCTGTAGGTTTTCCATCAACTACAAATTTTTCCACAACCAAGTCTGTATTGAATGTATACTATTCCATAAGGATAGAATGACCTACCATCACCGAGGAACAGGATGATGTTCTTGGCCTGGTGGTCCCGAGGGCGGAGTTTCAGCGCAGCATCCAGGGTTGCCCTGGCCTGTGCATCCCAATAAGCTGGTTCCTTCTCAAGTTCGTACAGCGCTGCTACTTGGAAACACACACAGATTGAGAATGAGATCGGAATGTGGGTGTATGGATTGTGGATGTCAGAGATTTTGCAGGTAAAGAATCAGATATGTGTGGGATATTGACTGCTTAGTATGTGTGGGCGGGTGGTGTTGTGTGGAATAGTAAAGCTCCGGCACCAAGAAGCTTCAAGAGAATTCAAGTGTGTCTGTAGGTGCCTGCACACTCATGCATCCCCCCTCGGCCATTGTCTGACACTTTGAATTATGTTTGGCCTTGGGTTAGACAAGAGAGTAGGTTTCTCAAGACGTGTCAAAATGACAAAAACAGCCAAGAAGACACTTTGGTTTTTGTCCATTCATGCCCACAGGGAGGCTCACAGTGAAGGGAGTCAAAAGGAACATGCCTCCGGCCACATGGCAAAAACAACGGAAAGACAAACAGTGCATCCCACATTTTACATAAACAGGTAGACACAGGCAAGAAATATACTCACACACGCTTTTATGCACTTACACTAACACAGACTCTCCATTACACCCACACACCTGAGTTTATGCTTATGAATCAAGTTCTCAAACACAGTCTGTCCTCACACACTCACCCTTACCCAGGTTGAGGTTACCTGCTTGAGTCGCCCTGCGCGTCCATTTGTCTGCCCACAAAGTGCTACTAATATCCCAACCGCAGGCAGCAATAATAACTCTGTCGTCTCCTCACCTTGGCTGTCCATAGTGGCCCGGCCCATAGCCAGCAGTATGGGGCCGAGAAGGATGAGCAGGAGATTGGGGGCCCTGCAATGTGGCGTCTGCATCTCTAATCCGAGCGACCTGGAGCCTGGAGAGGTTGACACAGCCGGCTTTCAGAGCAGCACACCGAGACCAAAAGACAGAGGCACGAGCAGAGAGTGTGTGTGGCTGCTAAGACCTCCGGCCCTGCCTTTTTAAAGCCCCACTGGGTGTGTAGTAAGGAAGGGCCAACGCCAGCTCATAGGCTTAGAGCCACAAAAAAGGGGAAGAGAAAATGTGAGAGAAGGAGGAAGAGCCAGGGGAGAGAGAGAGAGAGAAGCTGGGACCACACAAGAGCTCTGTAGCATTGCAGCCCCTCTACTCACTTTGATTCCTGAAAATGCACCACCCCTATTTTATTTGTTTTAAAAGGTTGTTTTAGTTTCATTCTCCCTCTTTTCTCAGGCTCCGCCACTCTGAAGTGTATATGATAGAAATTTGAATGGTCCTTTGATGTGGTAAATGTATAACGGGTCTTTCTATGCAGCAGCCCCTTTAACAAGGAAGGAAAAAAAACAGCTACCCAATTTGTGTTGGCATCCATTACAATACAAATCATAACCATGTCTCTTTCCATTTCTCTCCCCCCATCCCCTGGAAAAACAGTCCAAGAGAGGAAAGGGAGCGAGGTCCAACCTATTCTTGAGAATGTCATGATTGAGTCTTGATGTGCTCTGCTTTTCATGTCAGGAAAATTGTCATATTTCCATTTCCCCCCTCTGAGTTTTTGCATTTAAAAGACCCCAATATCTTCCCTCTCTCACCAAGTCAACTTGGCCAGTTTTTCCATGGGAAGTGAAGCAGGGTTAGCATTTTTCTTCTGTGAGGTAGTGGAGACCGCCTGCAGAATGAAAATGTCTCTCTTCTACGCAAACACAACAGTTAATGTGTGAAATGAAGTGAGTTGGGCCAACTTTGTTCCACACGGCCAGAAGAATCAAATTCTCGGCAAACGGCTCTCGCCTCGTGAACCCGCGAGGCTGAAATTCAGAGCTGTGGAAGACCTCTGCTTTCTGCCAACCGCTCAGCCGTTGCCAACAGGGGTTTGCAGTTAGTCACATGTGCCTAATCAAGACCGCAATAAAATCATAGCAGCAATCTGGGTAAAGAGGCCTCACATGATGTGGCCCACACCACATGAACTGGAAATACCAGCGGCAATGTGCAAGAGCAGGAAGGCTTGTGGAGGCCTGTCTTTCTGTCCATTTGTTATGGGTTTGCCCCTGAGAGAAAGTCTACCTTATGTTGGAAAAGTCAAAATAGTTTCCTCGAAGACAAGTGTAAACAACTGGTGGCTGTATTAGGTCTCAGCGTGGATCATCCATCCACCAAGAGGTGCTTAGTTACTTTTGTTTGCTGATTATATGGCAAGCTTGAACGCTTGTGGGAATGCAATGAGCTCCTGGGATTGGAAGACGAATGTAAACAAAGCAAAGCATTACAGTTCTAATGCTGTGAATCTAAAGCCATTGTGTACTTTATATACATTTCTGTAATAGCATCAATTTTTGGTGTCCAGCATTCAAAAATTAAAGCCTTCTTTAGTCTTATATTCAGAGGTTGTATATAATATTTCTAACTTGGCACAATTTATTAAAAAAATGCAATCACTTTTTTACGTTTACGTTTGTATTTCCTCCAAGGGGTAAATATCTAACTTTCCTGTGGAGAGCAAAAACATATTTCATATTTCTATTCCCCCAAGCAAAGCAGTGATGACTATGAGTAAATATGATCTGCTGAAATAAATCACATGCTACATGCAGGAGGAATAAGGAGATATCTGCTTGTTAAAAAATATATATACATATTTTCCAGGCCTTAGAGCAAGTGTATACGGGATATTTATAGTGTAGCAGATGGTGACTTGTGTACACTATTGAGATCACGAAGCAGGGGAAACCATACAGTGGGGGGCTGCTCGTCGTCATGTGGTGTGTTTGAACACATTTCCTGTTCTATCCGAAAATCCAAAAAAAGCACCTGTTCATGGATAAAGTGAATAAAGCTGAGTTTCCTTATTAGTTGATGCTGTTTTGTTTAATTGAAATTTTAAAAAGCTCCTAAGAGAAAACAGTCATCAACAAATGGTGGAATAACTTAAGCTAGTAGAGGTCATTGCAATTAATTTGCAAGTTAAGTTCTACACTACTGCCTTTGAACCGAATACCAGAATATGTTAGGCATGACACATGTAACGCCATTGATGCCCTAAAGGAAAAGCAAAAAATGTAAAGAATTGGGTGTCCTGTTGAACTATATCTATACCCATACCGACTATCTACTGTACACTGTCCTAATAAAAGAAAAATAATAAAAGTATGATTTATAAATCCCAATAAAATGGGAAAACATCTATATACAGGGAAGTGCCTTGGGATTCATGACTTTTTATGAAAAAAGTTCCTTTCAAGAGTTGGCCTCTATGGTTTATATGTCAGGAACCTAAAACAGACCTTTTTAAAGTGGATAGAAATATACACTGGTTTTACAGTTACACACATACCTTTTCACATACAAACACTCCCTCATTCCAGCATCTGGATCCTGAGTCAGACTCCCCTAACAGTAAATTACAAATGTTATACTCCCCTCTGCCTCCATACCCTCTGCTCTTGACATGCAAGGCTCCTTTAACCTATAGATTCTGTAAATTACAGTGGCTAGCCCAATTTTGTGTCTAGATTACAAGTCATGGAAGGAAATATTTAGGTTCAGGTTGTCAAAGCGAGGATATACATGCGGGTGGTGCCAGACCACACAGCCACAATTTCAAAGAAAAAGCCAAATCCTTTTCCATGACTTTTTAAAGGTGGCTTTTAAAAGGTTCTGAGATATGACAGAAAAAGAGATTGGGCCAAGGATACTGATGGTGAAAGTTATAGATGCTTGAGATGGTATCTTAAAGAAGGAAGAGAGTCAGAGATCCAGTCAGCAAAAGAAAATGACTGAAGAGACAGACAGACTGCCAGATCTTAAAGAGAATAAAAACAGAGACAGCACTGGTGGAACAATTAAACTAAGTCTGCAATGATGCCTGTGATCTATTTTGGCTTTGTCACAAATATGCTCCCATCCACAAGACAGATGAAGAATATATCTGGATCAATTTAAGGAGGTACCATAAATGATGTAACCCCCGTTTATATGAAGCACTGGTGACTGAGATCCCATCTCAGAACAGTTGGAAGACAAGTCATAAAAGCTTTTACTGCTGGCATGCAACTCAATTGGGGGACAATTACAAGTGAAAGCACCCGGAGACCCACGTCCCGACTCAAGGCGGCTCACAGCAGCTACGGCGAGAGATTGCAACCTCAACATCAAACAGTCTGACAGCTTTGAGAAGTGGCCCCTCTTAGTTTTTAATTGGACTCATAAAGGAAATATGGAGTTTACCCTAATTAAGTTATAGTGTGTGTGTGTGTGTGTGTGTGTGTGTGTGTGTGTGTGTGTCTGTGCAAGAAGAGAACATGTGAGCATGAAAGAGATAGAAAGAAAAGTCTGTGTGTGTGTGTGTGTGTGTGTGTGTGTGTGTGTGCGATGGCTAACATGCCTGCCTGCGTCTCTGATGTGTTATAATAGTGCACTGTTTGTCTTGTCTGACTTCAGACCTAAAAGTTGCGACATGGAAAGAAGTAAATTGCAGTCATTGCAGTCACATCCAGGCTTAAAGTTCCAGTTTTACTGTGTGCATTGAATATATTGCATTTGACATCATGTCATAAAAGAAATGCTTTCATGGGCACATGGTGACCACATCAAATATTTGCTTATGGCTTTTGGTTTGCTAACCTTTGCCCTTTTTCTCACTCTTTTAGCAACATCACAAATATAAAATTCTGACTCACCTGCACAGCCACATCCAGTGAGGAGAAGTAGGCACATCAACAGTATCATCTTTCCTCTGAAATCAGCTGTGAGACTTATTTCTCTCTGCACTTTCCTCTTCTTGTTCCTCTTCTTTGTCTTCCACCTCTCCTGTTTTTTGTGGGTCTCCAGATGACTAGCAATTACAACCTGCTTCTTACACCTCCTTCTGGTACAATGGTGTGTGAGGTTTCTCACCTCCAAGGTATCTAGAGAAGTAATAAATGACGGATGGAAAACAAAAAGTTATTTTCCTTCCACCACTACAATTTTGTAGCCTTGGCTTGCATCTTTTGTTTGAGACAGAGGCAGAGGAGGAGGGGGAAACACACTTATTTGGACACTCACACACACGTCTGCACCACAAGCAACACTCACCTTTTTACGTCAGAAATATCCATCAAATCACAGAGTGGGCCCGTTTCCCTCCCCACACTGCCCATCTTTTCCTCAACAATGCATCGAATCAAAGTGTTTTTCTCTCTCGGTCCTTTGTGGACACATGTCTGTCAGCAGCTCACAGAGGTTCAGACTTTGTAGTTTGCTGCAAGAAATGCCTGAACTGGTTTCAGAGGAGTCAAAGTGGGACAAAGGGTTTAAGGAATGCAGGAAACAAGTGTGTATATGCTGTACATTACAAAGACAGGCATGTGAAATAAACTTGTAGTAATGAGCTAAATCTTGATTGAAAACCTGGATTATGTGGGGGAAAACAGAAAGCGCAGAGATCCAGAGAGACACATTCGTATTCAGGATGGTCGAGTGTGGTCTGATGGGAGAAAACAAGACTTTTAATCAACACACACAACCGTGGTGTACCTGCCTCGCATTCCTCGCCTCCCACTCAACTAAGCACTCTGCTTACCCTAGATCTCCTCCACATCAAAGAGCACTCATTACAGAAGCCATCACACATGCACCGAAAGATGTGGGGAGGGAGAAAGAGAGAGCCAGGGGCAGAAATAGAGGTGGGAAGACAGAGGGGGTGAGGGAGAGCAACCACACTACTGCATAGAAAAGTATCATTTGAAACAAATCAATTCCTGCTGCTTTTTTTGCCTCACCTGGCAAGACCTTGGACAAGACCAGGCACAAACACAAAAAATAGCCTAACAGTTGCCAGAGAACGATTAAAAAAGATTTCCATAACAGTTTTATTATAGCCTGAAAGAAAATGAAGGACGAGGAACAGGATGAACGTTGTACTTCTTCGTCACGGCTTTTGTTTTGCCTTCTGAAAGGACACCAAAGAGAGTTCCCCTCTCCCACACGGCCACCCAGGCATGATGCTCGTGCTTGTGGGAGGAACATTGTGTCAGGTGGTGAGGTCGGGAGACTCCGCGACTGGCGCTTGAGGTCAGACGTAGGTTTATTTTCCCAGGCAGGCCTCTGTCCAAAAACATCCTCCGCAGCGTCCTCAGTGTCCGCCAGGTGCTGACCAGACAGGGCCTGTTAGCAGCGCAAGGAGAACTACTGTGAGATGGACTGCTTCTTTCATTCAAATGGTTTTGCGGTATTCATTTCCATTTTCAGGTCACACACTCGTGCATGGATTACCAGTAAGGCATTGGGTTGACATTTCTTCAGGACCACTGGACCACCCTGCATGTACTGAAGATACATTTGAAATTCACAGGGTTTTCAGTAAACTAATAGCTTCCTCATTTATTTTTGCTGACACAGTCCCTGCATTCTCACAATAAATGAGTAAGCTACTGAGTTTCTTAAGAAATGTTTAGTAAAAAGGTCCTTCCAGTGTTATTTACACAACTGACAGGCCCAGAAAGATCAAGACTTCTTTATTTTTTTGCTGTGCTATCTCACTCTAGAGATGGAATTTTTTACAGACATAATGTTCCTCAAAAAAGAAGCCTAATGACGTAAGCCTACGTTTTAGTTTTTTAGGTGAAATGTCTCGACAACCACTGGATGATTGCAGTGAAATTTGATACACATATTCATGTCCCCAGCAGGAGGAATTGCAATACGTTACACCATCATCAGGTCCAATTTTGTCCAACACTCAAGTTTATGAGTAAATACTTGAACAAATAATGACATCATCCTTAGCTGTAGTTTGTGTTTAGTGTTCATTATCAAATTATGGTATGCTAGCATTCGAAACAAAGATGTTTTAGCATTTATCATGAAGCACAACTGAATCAAAATATAACCTTACACTATAATTTCTGTAAACTCTTAGTTTTATAAATCTTTTATAAGAGCTTTGCTTCCTGTTTTCCTTTTGCTTTCTAATAAAAAAATTATGTAGATGAATGAGCACAAAACGTTTAAACATCTTGCTCAAAAACATTTCACAAAAAAAAATAATAATTCTGTGGGAAAAAGTCTTTTATACCTAAACATCCTTTTGCCCCCAGCCCAATTCTCCAGATGCTTGTTGGCGTAACATAAGACTGGGTGACAACAACATGCAGGCTGGGAAAAAGGTTCAAGGAACCACCAGAGTACTTTGTGTGAGGCCATTGTTTGAAGCAGTTTCTTTGACGTGTGTTTGTGGCACGAAGATGTGAACAATGGATCTAAACGCATGCAAAAGCTGGCAAACAAGGAAATACATTTTACATTTAATTGACTGCAGAGCATCCCAGATTGTTTCAATCTTTTGTCCTTAACTTTGCTCATAAACACATTACCAAAACTCTATTAAAGCCATTTTACAATGAGATGACCTTGTTGGGTAAAGGCCATGATTCTCAGTTTGGAGAATCCCATCAAGGAATGAAACGCACTTTGATCATGAATCTGCCCCTGTTTCTGCACATTTACCTATTTCTGCCATTGTGTTGACTTTTAAACACTTTTATGATGTGTTTCTTGTTCAATAAGGTCAGTGTCTCGTCTCAGCAGTTGCGTAACTAACTAAGAGTTGGTTGTCCCTGAGGCACAATTTCTGACTGTCGAGATCTTGCAGTATATAACTCTGGTGTTACTGAAAATGTTTTGAATACAACACCAAGAAAAAAAATAATCCCACATCTGACATATCTAATGTCAACACTTATCCCCATCAATCACATTTTAGAAGATGTGTTTTGTTTGTTGCACCATAGAAACAACAAAACAAAAAAAAATCTGAAATTCAAATTGTTCAGTGACTCACAAAGGCCGTAGAGAAAAAGGAGGACGTTTCGGCAGAACCATATTAAGTTCTATTTATGATGCGTAGTATAGATTCACTGGCATATAGGACATTACATTTACATTAACAATACAACTAATTTTTGTTGTTTTTTATCAAGTCAGCCCTTGACAGAAGGCAAAATTGGGGTTCAGACATTGTAAAAATGAGGCTCAGGTAAAGATGAAAGGAGAAGCATAGCTACTGAGGAATGTTTTACCACAGTGTTATCTTTGTCACGGACCTTTTTATATGTGCAGGAAGTTTGTGAACCAGCCTGTCAGCAGCTATCAATAAGGTCCACCTTTGTGATCATAAAAATATGAGAGATAAAATACATATTGTCATTACATGGTCAATGATGATCATTCTAAATATATCCGGTGCAAGATTAGCAGGTTAGCCCACTAATTTTGGATTAAGGCATCAGAATGTTGACTCACTTTTCACTAAGCTGCTCACCTCGTTAACCTTCATTGTGTGGTTAACCTGCTCCAGAGCAGATACAGCTCATAGGATCAAAAAGATCAAAATATATACAAAAACCCTACCTGCTCACTCGTCAGTTTACTGGAAGTTCATCATTTCTACAAAAAAGTGCAGCATTTACACATAAAATAATGAATAACAAGTGATATAATTAGACCAGAAACACACACCATTGCACTCTTATTCAGAAACATGCTCACTACAGACTATTTAACATGTTGACAAATGTTAAGCATTATATTAATATGTTTTTTCGTGGCCCCTAACAAGTTTCAGAAATTAAATAAACTAAAATGTTACTTGAATGTTACGTAATGTCTGTGAATGGGTACACAGCCAAACCAAGGGATAAAAACTAGATTTGTCTGCTCATTCAGGATTGACAGAGTTTAGAATTAGTAAAGCCAGGCAACTAAAAGAGAGACTGACTAAGCTGAACTTCAAGCGCTTGTTTACATTTGGACATAAAATCTTGAAGATGAATGAGTTGAAGCATTGTTTTAAGTGGAATAAGTATATTAGACAGAGGCATGTGTGAGTGAAAGCACTGGTCATAAAAGTAAAACTTGTAAAAAGACATCTGGAATAACAGTTTCAGAATACTCTGAGTCAGGCTGTATTCAAGTGAATGTAATGATATATAGGCCTATGGTAAATTAGTAGCCAGCAGAAGAGTCCCACATCCCTCTCAGTCTGCTGGTGTGCATTTCTTCCACTGTGCTGGTGTAGACAGACTAGTGACTAATGTAATTATAAATGTTGTTAACGTCTGACTGTGTGTTATTCAGTTTTCTGTTTTGGGACTGAAACTCAAGCTATTGTGTCATTTGTCATTTTTGTATCTATTCTGCCTTTACTGCCACAGCAGTTGCAGCATATTCCTTTCAACCAATAGTAAATGCATTGTTTTAAAAAGATTGTCTTTCAGAGGGCTCGCTTTCAAAGTGTTCTTTGCACCTTCCAGTGGCAGAAAGGGGAATTTACACGAGCATGGCACCATGCAGCAATCAGCTGCACAGGTTTCTCTCACCCGAGGCAATAAACTGGAACAGAGATAAAGTCCGCTCCTTGAACCATATCTTAGCCTTATTAAAAAAATCAATGCTTCTTAACAACAAAGCACAGATATGAATAACGGATGCTTGTTCATAAAAGCTTGGAGAAAGGATTTACTGGATACTTTAATGATACATCTTTAGATGAGACAGGGCACCGCGCTGAAAGAAAATACAACAAGGGAAAAACAGGAAACAATTACAGTATTCTGACTGAAAATGAAACTAAAACTCAAGCATCAGTAAAACAGAACACCTTACTTCAACGCTAACATGACAGCCATAATGAAAATTTCCTTTATCTATATCAGGGGCATAAAGTACTGGGAAATTGTATTCTTGTGAAAGCTATTCATGCGATCGTGATCATATGGGACGAGAAAGGCTTAAAAAGGGGGGGAAGGCGGGAAAAGGTTCACAAAAGCTCTCATTTTTATTATGCCACAAATATTTTGATAAAAAAACATCACCTCTACAACAAAACCTACAAAAGTGCAGGTACATCTGGTCAGTGGCTGGAAATAAAGCATTTCTGTGAAAAACAGAGAAAGGTCATGTGTTTTGAAGCATGTGAGGTGAGCACAAGAAAAAAAAAAAAAGTCCTTTGGTTGAGTGGAACCAGCTTATCATGAGGCATCATCTGATTACCCAACACTGACCATAATACTTTTCACGTTACATTTTTATTGTAAATAAAGTGAATTATAGAATGAATCCTGACAGAATGGTCACTGAGACAGATGGCACAATCAAAAGACCAAGAGTGAGATTGTGTGTGCGTCTGTGAGCGCGTCTGTGCGTTTGTGTGTGTCACAGTCACAGACATGATGACATGTCTGGGGGCCCCACATCTGTCGACATTTTCCGTCTGCCAGTTCGACTCTGGC